ATGTTGTACTTGAAACTTCGTTTTTAAAACCGTATCCAAAATTCCTGTGTAGATTTTCTATAACAACATATCATCGTGTTGTTATCTTATGATAGTTGCGATAGTAACCAGGTCAAACCATAGAGAAAATAGAACAGTTCTATTTTCTCTATGGTCAAACCTACCCATCTATTTGAATTAGTTCATCGAACAAAATGCTCTTATATGCACCGTATTTTCCTAATGAAAGTAATTGGTAAGTCACTTATATAGGCCCGTAGCTCAGACATGATTCTACTACGGATGTATATTGGTTTATTCCTCAATTAATTAGGCCTATTTGTATGATGAAAATTGCAGACAATATGTCAATACTCATCAAACATACAAATGAACGTAATAAAATTAAAACGGTATTCATCGTATTGTTGTTTTCAACTATAAAGTAGACTTTAACCCGTATGTAGTAGAGATATGTCGATGTGAATATTTGATAAAAGGACTAGCTAGATGAGAGAACGAACTGATCTAAAAATTATAAATTACTATTAATCATTACGTACATTTTTTTCCAGTTTATCAATCTGCTGCATCAAATCGTAGTTTCTGACTTGGGCCGTGGTCAATTCTTTCTCTTTCTCAGCAAGAGTTGCTTTTACAGCTTCTTTTTCTTTCAGGATCAGGACGAATTCTGAGGTACTTTGGCTTCTAGTGTCGGCGGTCTCTCCATTTGTTTCTAGGCTCGCCATGCTATCTGTAAATACGTTAATACAATTCAGGGAGAGGTAAATATTCTAGCCCCCTTCACACCTGATAAAGTTACCAACAGCGACCGTATATCAAAGGTTCCTCACGAGAATCAAAGGATTATAGTTCTATACAGACCCGAGTTCTAAATGAATCGTCCAGGCAAACAACCTGTTCATCAACTTTAATGATCATTCTCCGGGTCGTTAACGTTACATCTGAACGTATCTGACAATTATATGTATGCCACAATCAATACGTTACTATATGAGCAACTAAACAATCATACGTGAACAATAAACTGGCCCATGGTTTGCTTACGCATGTACTCCAACTTGAACTATCTATTTGTTTACATAACAACGAAAGCTTTCTCTTGGCCCACTATAGAGAGATTAGGACTGTATCTTTAGTGAATCAGGATGCGGTTATTTTCGTGCCATGGCTCCTGTTGACGCGACTATATTTCATTATAGCGCCCTCTGTTATCTGGCCGTTCCATTACTTGTATAATTTTTCTGAATATAAATTGTCGGTTTTTTATTGATTATTTTTAGTAGTTGAATTTTTCGTAGTTAAAGTTTGTTTTTGCTTGTAAACAGTTGTTTAATTTTCCATAGTTAAGTTATTATTCATGTATCTTTTTCTTTTCAATTTTGCTTTGGATGCACCATCAATGATGTGAGTTGGCTTAACAATGAGTGATTCCGAATAAAAACTAAAACTAAACTACCTGTACATGGTTGGTTGTCGGGTATATTTTTTGTTTAAAAAGGAAGAGATTGAATATCAATTAAAAAAAACGGATATTTGACAAGTTATGGCGAAATGTTATTACTTATTTGATAGGCATCGAGTTATTATAATGTAACTTCTAGTAGGCTATGTTTTCTAATGTCGAAATCAGCTTCCAAAACCAAAACACTTTGAATAAAACAAGAAAAAAAAAGTATGCAATGTAACCATCTAATTTATTTTCAAATCCTCATTCTTGAAAGTGAAATTCTACATTTTGGAATTTTTGCATGTATCACGATGTATTCTAAGCATCATGAGGCTATCCAAATGTGCATTTGTCATAACAGAACGCAAATTATTTTTAATTAGTCTCATTGAACTATTATTATTATTATCATTATTATTATTATTATTATTATTATTATTATTATTATTATTATTATTATTATTATTATTATTATTATTATTATTATTATTATTATTATTATTATTAGTATTAGTATTAGGCCTATCATTTTGGAAATTTTGCATGTATCACGATGTATTCTAAGCATTTTGAGGCTATCCAAATGAGCATTTGTCACCAGAACGCAAATTATTTTTAATTAGTCTCATTGAACTATTATTAGGCCTATTTTTATTATTATTATTATTATTATTATTAGGCCTATTATTATTATTATTATTATCTTTATTATTATTATTATTATTATTATTATTATTATTATTATTATTATTATTATTATTATTATTATTATTGTGATGAAAAGTTAACACAAATAGTTTAATGAAAGTAAATAATTTCTTTATTTGTTTATTCCCCGACAAAATTCACTCGTCTTCACCCCCGCCCCCCGCACCTCTGGCGCCACCACTGCTGACGCCTGCTGTAGAAATGTAATCATGTTTTAACAACCGGACAAAAGGACCACGTTGGCTAGGGCTGCGTGTGAACTGGGATTTAAATCTTCCAAGAGGGCGCTATTCAAATTAAATTTCCCTTCCTTGTACAGTATGTACGCTCAACACTGTGAATAGAAACGATGGTGTTTGTTATGTTGTGAAGACCAAACAGAAAGGATAACTTATACCATAAATTTTGTGGATTTAGATCGATTTAAATTCGTGGTATATATTCTGATATTAATATTTAAATATTGGATATTTCAGCAAGGTATTGTATGAGTTCCAATTTATAGTATGAATCGATAGTTAATATTCTATTCCAAATGTTAGCCCTGTGTGGGAGACAAAAAACAAAATGAATGGCAAACTATCAAGGCGCTACACACTGTCTGGACAAAACAGCAGAACAATAGTTTGCCTCCTGTGTACTGCTTAAACCAATAATAACAGGATCTGTTGATTAGTTAGCTCTGTTTTTAGTGTTTATATCAAGTTTAAGACACTAAATCTGGTTGCCGTTGTCTCCTGGTAGACTACAGTATGTACTTGTTGGATTTGTTTAGGAGCAGGCCTAGGCTAGGGCCTAGGCCTAGGCCTAGCTAGACCTAATAAGCTAGGACTAGGATTTGATTTACACAGCACTGTTTTTGTAGCTAGGTCAAGCAAGAGGAGACATGAAAGGTCTAGGTAGGGGCCTAACCACAACAGAAGGCCAGTAACCAAATCAACCAATTTTAATAATTTATAGATTTTTATAATTTGGATGTTTATTGTTTTACTATCAACGGTTTTATTTTGCCAACTGAAGATAAGATGCTTTTCTATTGTGTTTTTCAAAAGGAACAAAGTTCATTCCTATTTCATGCTTTTTTGTATTTCGTAATTAGCAACATCACCAACTTGGGGCACAATAGAGCTAAGCGTCACCTTGCCTACCACATGATTATTTTAGTTGTGTTACTATCACTAAATATTGTTACATGTGTCGTCTGTCTTGTTTTAGAAGGGAATCCATTGACATTGTGCAGTGGTGGCACCATGTGGTTGAGTTGGTGGGGGGCAGGGGGAGTAGATCATTACGAAAGATCCTATAAACACAAGATAGCGTTCTCCGCGATTTACGCATAACAAATAGAAGGGTCGATTTGGCAGTGCAGATAGTAATTATTATTGGGAGAGGGCATCCTAGTTGTTGCCATAGATCTGAGATAAAGTGTTCGTGTTATGCCAAAGTTTGTTACCAAGTACATTATTGTTCCTTAATTGTAAATCGAGGCTTCTAATTGCTACGCACAAAGGTAAATTCGTGCAGCGTACGCCATCATTACTATTAATACTTATTGATATTCCTGTGACAATTAAATACAGTTACACTGTTAATTGACTATATTCTGTGATTTTGCAGGTGTACTTAAATGCAGTGGTGGCATCAGGGGTGAAATCCGCTTCACCAAACAAACATGAACCCCATAATTAACCCCTTAATTTGATTGGCTGAAGTTTTTTATGCAACTTTAAATTTTCCATTGAGATGAACTGACATCATGCTGGCTAAAGCTTGACAATATGAAAACTTTACACTAATTTCCTATCAATTCTAGCAGCACTAATATACTTTTTTAACGCTTGAAATGTTCAGCAGGGCACATAACTCTAAAGTACTGTATACATTTACCCAGGGGCGGATCCAGGAATTCCTTTTACAAGGCCCAGGGAACAGCGGCATGTGGGGGAATGTGGGGAGGGGGCGCCAGCTTGCAAACTAAGTTGATATGAGGTGATAACTACTTGAGCTTAATTTTTTTGCTTCAAACATTTCTAATGGAGGTGGGTGGGAGGGATGAAACTAGAGATGCAAGCTTTATTTGAGGGGAAGCATGCACTCTTGTGCACCCCCAAGATATGCCACTGCAGTGACAGGGAGGGATTTTTTGCAGATGGAGGCTCTACACAAAAATTATTGGCTATGGCACTTTCAGATGAAATTTTCTTACCGTATTTCCTCTTTTTTTTTTGCTCAAAAAATTCCATGATTTAGTCACTTGAAATTAGCCAAACAGAAGAAGAGGTGCAGTACTTCTGAACAATTCATAGAATTAGCCAGCGCACAACTCCATTTTGATATAAATCAGAGCGGAGTTTTTCTGTAGGCTAGCCTACTGTAGAGCTGCTACTGTCGTTAATATTGATATTGATTGTTGTACGTAAAGATTGACATTAAACTGAAAATTTACATTTTTTATGAAATTTTAATTTTTTTATATTGAATCCTGTAGTCATTTTTTCTTGCAGAAACTTTCATGTCTATTAGGAGCTATTAAGGGAGAGCATTACAGAGCTGAAGGATGGGTATTTTTTGACATTAGTGCAGTATTATAGTTACATTCATACAGTCAAAATCTACTTCGCTTTATCGTTTCAAAGGAGGAATTATTTTGGTGTGGCCTAGTTGTAGCCTAGGCCCAAGTGGCTGACCCAAAGATGGCTGACGTGGATCCTGAGACGTTGTTGGAATGGCTCCAAATGGGCCAGGGAGAGGAACGAGACATGCAGCTTATTGCATTGGAACAGCTTTGTATGTTACTGCTAATGTCGGACAATGTGGATCGTTGTTTTGAGAGGTAAGATACTTGCCCACCTTTAAATAATAAGTGGTGATGAATAGCTTGCTTGGTGTTTACAGTGAGATGCTTACCTTCCAGTCCCAGTGTCCTGGGTTCAATTCCTGTCATGGTACAATTTTTTCTCACGATCTAAACAACTCCACTCCCTGAGCCTCATTAAGAGACTTAGTCGTTGCACACCTACTGTACCAAGTCTCGCGCATCTGGCGTAAGCCTCACTTTCTAACCAAACCGCAAGCTCTCAAGCCATTCCCCTAAAATCTCGCGCTTTTACACTGATCTCTAAGCTTTATTTTATTAAACCCAAACTTTTTATCGAAATACTCGAAACTTTCACAATTTAATAGTTTATCAGGCCTAGAATCGTCAAAATTTCTATCGTTCCTATTCTAGACTACACATTTTTAAGGTTTAATTTGAGCACTAGAGATCTGTTCAGAGAGCATCTAAGCCCAAAATTTTTCGAGAGAGCATCTTTTGTTTACGGTTGTCTTGTGACTGGTTAGCCAACTGTGAAGAATGATTAAGTTCAATGTTTTAAAATTATAATAATTCTTTATTGGTCCTCATTCAAGTTGGAAATCAGAAATCCAGACTTAAAGTTCACGGTTCGGTATATCCTTGGCCTATTGCCAAAAGCTGAATAAAAAAATAAATAAAAAATAAAATAATGCTGACCGCAACTTTCGTAATATAAAAGATCAAGAGACTAAACTTTACACCTTAATAGCACTTATTTAATTGGCAGGTGCTTCACACATTATTGGAATGTTGAAATTGTACATTGTGTTGAACTGTATGACTTGTTTTAACATTGTTAGTATTATTAATTTGTGAAAAATTGGAGTGTAGTGACCCCAAGACATAAAAAAAATAATTAAGACACTTTACTTAATGTTTACTGTTGATTAAGCCCTGATTTTTAAAAATAATGCGGCGCTTATACAAAAAGCAGTAAGGCGCTTTCTTTATTCAATAATTCACCTTAACGTAAAACTTAAAAAGCACTTAATTATTAAATGGTTATTGTTTTTCTGAATCTACACAACTAGTAAAAGTATAGGTTTACTTGTTTCATGGTCTTGTAATTTTATTGACTAGGTATTGACTGTCCCTTTGTATTAACAGTTTATTAGATGTGTATAGCAAATAACAATGGAGTAAACTCATTATCAAGGTTATGAAAAACAATGACTAATAAACAGGAAAATACCTAATTAATTACTGCAGTTTCCTGACGGAGGTACCACCACCACATTTCTTTTTTACTATATATATATATATATATATATATATATATATCCTTTATTTTACGAAATGTACTAAAATATTGCTAACTCGCATCAGTAAAATTCCTCTCTCAATCGTTCGTGGTTGGGGATACATATGGTACTGTCTCTTATACACATCTAGATGTGTATAAGAGACAGATATAATGTTTATTTCTATTAATAAATTATATTTTATCCAATTTCACATTAGGGTTAGAGTGTGCTCATTAATCTTCACACAAAAATACTGATCTGACATATAGGTGTTTAACATCCACACTATTTTAGACCCTTCATTCAATTTCATTTTTTGCAGCCTTTACTGTTGATGGTACAGAAAAGAATATACTTGACCATAATTCATAAATTGAGATTTATAATCAATGGCTGATTTTGTTATTATTTATTATTTTTTCAATGATAATTATTAGTATTGTTAAATTATAAATATTAATATTCAATAATAATAATTATTAATATTGTGATTTAAGATTATTTATTATATGTTAATGATTATTATCTTCATGGTATTATGATTACTGTACATACTACTTAAATAATAATAATAATTATTGTTGTTATTTTGACTATCATTCTCTGTTAGTGTTGTTAAGCAAAACTTAGTAAGAATGTAGTTGGCTGCCAAGACAAGAACATGACGACTGCTGAGAAAGGCTTGTGAGTCATAAATTAAGTGGTAATCAAAACAAGCGTATGTATATGATTACACATCGTGCATATGTCATCATAAAGGTTTATTGATGTCACTAATCATCATGTTTATTATAAGTATTTAAGGCTCACAATTGATACTTTTCAATAAGATTTTTTGCCTTTACTTCCAAGCAGTCTGCACGTTTGTAGCAAATTTTTAAAGTAAATAAATTATTTACTAAAAGTTTATTTTAAAGTGTTATTTTGAAGTTTTATGTGCCTTGGGCTGATGTACAGTACTGCACTTAACATTCTTATTTGACCTTCAAAAACATACTTTTAAAGTTGTTATCCTCAACTTGAAAATTAGAATTTAATAATTTTTTTTCTTTTCCAATTAACAGAATTCTTTTCATAGGTGCTTAAATTGGCTGTTACCATTCAATCAAAAGTTTTTGCAAATTTGTTTTGCTCAATACTGAGCAAACTACTATAAGATGTCATGTTATGATTGTCACCTGGTTATCTGCAACAATTGGCTATTGTCATGTCACATGCGTACACGCATCGTATTTGACCGGTTTGCTAATGGTGAATGTCTTTCGTGTTGGTGCAGCGATTTATCTACTGTACAAAGTAATGTTCTAAAAAAATATATATACAGTGTAAAGACTTTCTATTTTATGTTGTTTAGCAATATAATAATAAAAATAATAAAAATATGAAAGATAATGTCAGAAAATTTTTAAAGGGCTCTCTACTGAAGTCTCACAGCATGATGTAATAAAAACAACTGGAAAAGGGTGAGTCTTCAGGAGTAATTTTAATTGAGAGAAGGTTAGAGAATGATGGATAGAGTTTGGAACTCTGGTACTGAGGCAAATAAAAGAAATTACTAGATTCTCATCCCCTCACCATGTATCCATTTTCTCTGCCTCACCAAATTATTATTTTTTTTTCTTTTATTTTACAAAATGTACGAAAATTTGGCTAAAACTCACCTCAGTAAAATTCCTCTCTCGATGATTTGTGGTTGGGGATACATATGGTATGAATCATGTAGTGCTTCTTTTGTTTGCTTCCAATGTGTCTTATTTGCTTTCAAATTGAGAAAGTAGTAGCTGTTTCCCATCGAACCATCTTGGATTTGCCATCTCGGAGTAAAAAGAAAAAAGAAAAATTAGCTTTGCTCAGTTGGCTAATCTGGTGGTAGCTGCTGCATGTACACTGAACCTGGGTTCCCGGTTCAATTTCCCATCGCTGCCTCTCTTTGTGTTTCCGCTGGAGTGCCAAAATACAAACGGATGAGACGTTTACAGTAAGTCGTTGGTCCTATGTGCATTTATGGCCCATGTGCACTTTAAAGAACGCAGTACACTCTTTGGAAAAGAGTAGGCGATTGTCTCCCCGGTGTACTTCCCCAATCACCACCAGAAGGACCCAAATGGACTTTCATGGGCTATCTTTGGTGTTTACACTGAATAAATCCAATCCAATTCAAAAAAGTGTACTCATTCTCTTTTTTTTTATTAGTATGAGAGACTACTTTTTTTTTTTACCTGGCCTTTTAATATTGTAAATTGTATTATTATTGTGGACTTCTTATATAGCAATTCTTTAAATTAGTGAGAACTGCTCATTACCAATTCATATTCTTTATCTAGCTGTTTACACTTATGCCCATTTTTAGAGAGCTAACTGCCAATAGCAGTGGAGAAATGTGGTATCATTAAACATTGTCTGCTGTTGGCATGGACGAACCTTTGATTGGCCCTTGACTGTTCTATTTCTACTACAGTGTACAGTATGTGGTTTCTGGACTGTCAAAGCAAGTAAACAGGAATGCTTGTTGCTGTCTATAAAGCATCCTCACTGACAATACAGTATATGAGAGTATCACTACTACATATTGCTATTTTAGTTAACATATACCCGCATTAGTAGCAGGTTTATCCATGTATATTTATTTGTTTATAATAATAAAATATTTATTTTAAATTGAAAAAAGGGTATTTAAGTTAACATAAATTATTTATTTTTATTTAAAACTTATCAAAAACTTATGATACAAGGTATGATGAATGTTGATGTATTGTAATATCATCTTTTTATCGTGTCTACACACTTGCTACAGTAGGTTTCAGCCAGAGCTAGACACAATCATTGTAGGTCCTACCCTCCAAGGTTTATCAAATGGCATGATAAAAATGCTCAGTGTTTCAAGTACCGGTAGATGTTGACTTGATCTTGTGTATGGGGTGGTAACATTAGCGTTATCCAGGGCCGCGATTAGGTTGTTCTACCATGATTGTAATACACATCCATATTTTATGTTTTTTTAAGCTAATTATTATGCCTTTCTTGCTAATTAATGATTGACAGCTTAACTGACATTTATTACGTCATATGATGATTATTAAAATAACCTTCAGTATACATTCATCTTGCTAATTACAACATTTTTTCTCATTAAAAGAGAATAATTATTTTGATCATTCAAATGGTCACTGTACGATAATCATGTGAACAGCTTGTTAACCAGTTGTAAACTGTCATTCTGATCGGAGAAATTGAGGGCAGCCAATACCAGTAAAGATTAGAGACTTTCCTATATAGAGAGTTGCGACATGAGCAGCTTATGAAACTCCATATCGTGTACTTTTATGCATGAATAAACACAACACCTACTCTACAGTGTGGTGATTGCCTAAATAACAGGCAATTGAAAAAAATGAATAAAAATATTAAGAAAATTTTATTTCATTTGATAGTACAGTAAGTCCCTGTAAATTTGAAAAGAAATTGATTCTCAATAGGCTACAGTATAAATAGTTATTATATTACATGTAGTTCTTGCTTGACTGAAATAGCGTAGCGCCTTTAGCTAGGCGTACAATATTGTGTTTGTTACGCTCCAAAAATAGTAGACGACTTGGCCTCTTACTTACACACAGGCAACTTAGAAATTTATATAATAAACGGGTGTTTGTGGAAACAGTAGGTAAGGTCCCAGTCCAAAATTACTTGTAGTGAGTAAGACAAATCAATAAGTCTTACGGTAACTGAAATAGTACTGTAGTCCTACTCACTACTAGCTAGGCGGTACTACGTACAGTACGTCGTACTATACAGAGACACTATTTAAATAGGCTCTTCTTTTCCCATCTTGAATTCAAAGGTGGAACAAGATTTTCAATTTTTTTTCAATCATACAGTGGTGTAGAAGCTTTTTAAGAACATGTAGAATGTGTAGAATCTTTTTAAGAACATTTTCCCTGTTTTGTTTTTTCTCCATTTAATGATTTTTAAGAATATTAATTGACAAGTTCACTCTTTTTCTCTTTTAAATATTTTTTTTCTAATGTACTT